GCAATGGGACAAAAGCTGAATAAAATCCCTTTCGGATACCATCCTTGTGGAGCATTTCTGTTTATAAGTATTTGGTCAGAACACAGTCATGCTGACACCTCGGCAAGGGAGGTTGACAGATATAATCTCTTTGGATGTGTAGTGTGGCTTCTAGAACAGGTCTTGGTAAGCAGATGGGCAAGTAGAGATGAACAAAGCAGAAAACTGGAAGAAAAGATAAGAACCCCCAGACAGCTAGAAGCATCTGTCACTTTGAATACAGTAATCAACCCTAAAAATTGGCAAATGAAGAAACGCCCACACCCAACACATTCAAGATATAGATTCACATTAGGGAACATACTGACTTCTGAAAGAGATAACTTACCCCTCCTACTTAGGTTACCAGAGAATGAGCTTTTACATATTTCCTACACATTGTTTAAGTATTAAATTCATATTAGGAGGCAATCACATGTTCTCCAACTAAAGTATATAAAATGGTGTTTTATAAAAGTGTGGGATAATAGAGGGGGGAGATTTATAATTCATCCTATATAAATCTATCTTCTGGGGGTGTGGTTTGTCATAGAGCATTTGACTGGCAGTCATAAACCCCAGGCTCGGTCCCTAGTACTGCACCAATCAAATACAGCAGTAAAAACAAAACCAGCAAACAAAACCCAAGTTTCCCCATCACCTTCCACTTCCTGGTTATGACCCTGTTGAGGTAGCTTGTGGCAGCTCTTGCCAGAGGAGAGTTAAGGCCACCTGCTGGGGAGCTGCAACATTAACCCTTTAAATTACCACACAGGCTTCAAGTCATGCACACAGGCCCAAGCACAGCTTAATTTCTTAATTAGTTATAGTTCTCCACTAGGACACTCAAAGCCAAAGCTAGATACAATGCCAGCCTGAGCTATATAGCAAGCTTCTTAATTTCAGGGGGTGGACAATTCAAATGCTTCAGGAAGTTCCTGAAACTAACTTGATACACAAAGATTCTCCCTCCTCAAGCACATATAAGACTGCTGAGAGACACTTTCAGACAAGCTAAGTCCCCGGAAGAGATTCAGACCAGCTGAGTTGCACGGAAGATACTCTCCAAGTTGTTTGGTTACTTGTAAGTTTCTCAGTGAGATAATTCCCAGCTTTTCTGAGCTGTTACAGATACCAGATTGGACCTTGGTGCCACAATTGTCTTTGAGTCATTCCTGTAAGTAACCCCTCCCCCATATCCCTGTAGTTAACCCTTATAAACACATCCATTCAAATGAACTTTGGTGAGATCTATACTTTGTTGTGAGTAGACATTTGTTCACACACCCTAGAAATAGTGTCACACAACACATAGTGACTTATGGACTATAATTCTAATACTTGGAGCCTGAAGTAGGGGGGTTGCCATGAGTTCAAAGCCAGGCTGTACTACATAGTGAGTTCCAGGGTAGCATGGAGTACCGATTGAGATATTGTCTGATGGGAGATGTCATTCTGTATATGTTTCTCATACTGGTTAATGAATAAAGCATTGTTGGCCAATAGGAAAGGAAGATAGGAGAGACTAGGAGACAAGGAGGAAAGGGGAAGTAGAGGGAGAGTCAAGATGGAGAGTCTGGAGAAAGCAGAATGCCGGCCGGCTCCCCGGTAAGAGAAATACATAGATCAGCAGAAATGGGTTAATACTTAAGACAGAGCTAGCCGATAAGAAACTAGTACCTGGCCAACAGAATTATATCTAATACAGAGTCTCTGTGTGTTATTTGGAGCTGGCGCGGCAGCGGGACAAGACCAGCGGCGGCGGGTGGAAAAAACATACTCCTTACAATTGTCTCAACAACAACAAAAAGAAATCAGAGAGTTGCTTTCTCTTGTACTATTTAGGAGAGGTTCTCTGAAGTGGCAGTATAGGCGGGCAAACAGAATGATCAGAAAGGCCTTAGCTACATCCTACATTTAGAAAATGACAACCACTGCTCTTAGCTCACCAGAGACAAGTCCTACAAACATCAGATATAATTTCCTGTGTACCTTTGTTTTCTTTCTTTTTCAATATTGTAACTATTTTTGATTGATTTGTGTTATGTATACATGTGAAGGGAAGAGAACAACTGTTGGAGTCTTTTCTCTCCTCCCACCATGTAGGCCCTTGGAATCTAAACCAAGTTACAGGTTTGGTGGTAAGCACCTTTACCTACTGAGGCATCTTACCAGCCACCATCTACTTTCAATAGAACATACACAATGATTTAAGAATTTGTCCAGCTGGGAGGTGGTAGCACATGCCTTTAATCTGAGCACTCAGGAGGCAGAGGCAGACCAGTTTCTGAGTTTGAGGCCAACCTCTGCAGAGGGAGTTCCAGGACAGCTGGGACTACACAGAGAATCCCTATCTCAAGAAAAAAGGAAAAAACTATTTGTTCATTAAGACAAGCTATAACAGTTGAAAGGGGTTGTGACTTTATTCTTTTTACAATACTCTTTGCAGATCTGTAACTTCTTCTTCTTCTTCTTCTTCTTCTTCTTCTTCTTCTTCTTCTTCTTCCTCCTCCTCCTCCTCCTCCTCCTCCTCCCCCTCCTCCTCCTCTTCCTCCTCTTTCTCTCCTCCTCTTCCTCGTGTTATTATAACTGTGCTGGTATGCAAACCCAAGGTCTCATACACAGTAGGCAAGTGCCTTGCCATACTGAGCTATATCTCCAGCTCTGTGTTGATTTCAGTTACAAGTTTTGAGTTTGTTTGGTTGGCTGGTTTTTGGTTTTTCAAGACAGAGTTTCTCTGTATAATAGCCCTGGCTGTCCTGAAACTTGCTTTGTAGATCAGGCTGGCCTCAAACTCACAGAGCTACACCTGCCTCTGCCTCCCAAGTTCTGAGATCAAATGTGTGTGCCACTACACCTAGCTCAATTATAAGTTTTTAACTTTTTTTTCCCTAAATGACACAGAAAGGTATGGTGGTGCATGCCTGTAATTCCAGTGCTACAGAGGCTGATACAGGAGAATTGCTGTAAGTTCAAGCTTAACTGGAGCTACATCAGTGAGTACCAGACCAGCCCATGCTACATATTGAGACCCTGTCTCCAAGGTGGAAAAGCAAAATAATTATAGTGTCTACATGAGAAAAGACACAAGAGTTTCTTAAAATATTTAAAAATATAAGTCCTGTTTTTGGGAGAAAATAGAATACAAATTTTCAAGTCAAATCGTTTTATTCAGAGACTTGAAGGTGAGGATGGGCAAAGAGATCCACAAAATCGTATGTCCTCCACAGGAGAGATGTCCCTAGGCACACTATCACTCTAGACTAACATTTTATTCTTTTAATTTAAAATGTTTGTAATTGAATGGGAGGGGTCATGTATGTATGTGATGTGTGTGATGTGTGCTTGTGCAGAGGCCAGAGAGGCTGTAGGCCATCTTCTACTCTACCTCTACCTCTCCGAAGATGGAGTTGCTCATTAAACCTGAAGATTTGGACCTCTCCATTTTTGCAGGCCTTGCTGCCCAGTGAGCTTTTGTCCTCACCATGCTGGGGTCACCGGTATGTGGCTATACCTAGTTTCCCCCCCACACATACACACCCAAACACAGGGGTGCTGGAAATTCTAATTCAGGCCCTCATGTTTATACAGCAAGTACTCTTTATCTACTGAGGCATCTCCCCAGTCACTAGACTTACTATACTCCCTGACAAGTGTCATTTCATGCCTTGAAGACATGATTTGATAAATCAGTACTTTTGCTTATAAAGCCTAGAATTTTGGTAAATGTGATTTTTTTTTAAAAATCTTGGACAGGAAGGGTTTTTAGTTTGGACCTTTAGGAGTACCATAAAACATCAAAAGAATGATAAAACACAGCTTCATCAATTACCCAACACTTCTGGATAAGACACTAGCCAAGTTTAGTGCAGTATTCCTTTTTTCAAATTATTATTTTTATTTTATGTGTAGAAGTGTTTTGCCCACCTGTATGTATGTGCATGGCATGTGTGCTTTGTGCCCACAGAGGCCAGAAGAGGGTGTTGGATACCCTAGAACTGAAGCTAAGGACTCTGTAAGCTACCATGTGGACACTGGAAGCAGAACCTGGGCCCACTGCAAAAGCAGCAAGCACTCAGAACTGCTGACCCATCTCTCCAGCCCCCACCCCGCTGTAAGATTACTGAGTTGTCTACACTTGAAAGTAGTCCTGCTGTAGGCCCTCAAACAGAATGCCGTTGTATTGAAAAAGATACTTAGCTGCTTCAGAACATGTCTGGAAACTGAAAGGATATATATATATATATATGTATGTATGTATGTATGTATGTATGTATGTATATGTATATATATATGCAATTATCAGTGAGAACATGTCTCACTTAGCCCAGGCTGGCCTCAAATTCCTTCTGCAGGAGATGATGACCTTTGACCCTTCTACCATCACCTACCCCAGCACTGGATTACAGGTGCCACCACCATTCCTGTTTTATAAGATACTGGAACAGTGTTCCTCCTGCATGCTAGGCAAACACTCCGCCAACTGAGCTAAACCGCACCGCCCACGGGCCCAGCCCGTGGATGAATTTCATGAAGCCACAAAATGTCTTGCATTTGCTACAGCAGCCCAGGTAACCAATATAAAGTACTCTGAACTTTGCTATTATTAAGTCCAGCTGGAGTCTGGTGTGGAGCCACAATACATAAAGGATTCTAGGCCTGAGACCTTGTTACAAAAATGCAAACAAGCAAACAAACAAAAGACCTCCTGTCTGAGTTTCTTTGATGCTTACCCAGTTTGTTGCCAGTTTATAGCTGTTCTTCCCTACTCGGGAGTGTACTTTTGTTCTCCTCTGAGGACAGAGTCTATCTCCCCAGGGAAACCCTGAGGCTAAGCTTGCACACCCTCAATAGGGGTCCTGTCCCTCGCTCATGACACTTTCGCGTCGAAGCCCTGCCCGGGATCTCCTCTGGGGCTCCTTGGGTAAGGTATGTCTCCTGGCCTGGATGGGCGGGTATTGGGTCTGTTCTCCAGCGTCCAAGGCAATGGCCAGGTCGATGCTTGCGCGGCAGCTCAGGCCCCGCGCCCCCCGCCCGCATCTGCGGCTGCGCGGCCGGCCCGGGAGGGGGCGCGGCGGGCAGCTGGGAGCGGGGCGGCCAGAGGCATGTCTCGCTACACCAGACCCCCCAACACCTCCCTGTTCGTCAGGAACGTCGCTGACGCCACCAGGTGAGCCAAGACAGGACCCCGCGGGAGTTCGTGCTGGGGCGGCGGGGTGTCTGGGTGCAGGCTGGGCTGTGGGCTGTCTGGCTGTCGGATGCAGGCCGGGTTCCCCGGTGCCAGGTTGCAGGCTGTCTGGGGGGTACCAGTCGAGTGTTAGGGTGCTGGCCTGGTATTGGAGTGCTGGACAGGTGTCGGAGTACCGGAATAAGAGGTGACCAGGTGTTGGGGTGCTGTCATGATGACAGGATGCTGGCCGGGTGTCCAGGTGCGGGCCTTGGCGGGCTGTGGTGGCAATGCTGGCCCTGTTGTCACTGCGTCCTGCTGACGCCGCCCACTAACCTTCCGGAGGAACTGGGGCTATCTCATCTCAGGATTTGCACCCTAGGCCTTGCAATTTCCTCTGCGCTGTTCAGACAGTGCTTACGGCCCAAATGTAATATACAAGGCCAGCCTGGTCTACAAACAAGTTCCAGGACAGCCAAAGTTGTTACACAGAGGAAACCCTAGAGAAACCCTATCTCAAATATATATATATATATATATATATATATATATATATGTGTGTGTGTGTGTGTGTGTGTGTGTGTGTGTGTGTGTGTATGTATATATGTGTGTGTATATATGTATATATGTATATATATGTATATATGTATGTATGTGTATATATGTATATGTATGTATGTATGTATATAATCAACTTGGTGTATATGTTTTCCTTTGAGTGCTGGAAACACTCTTTTATCATTCATCATGGTTAGTAGGCAGTTTCAATCCTGGGAGTCTATCCCCTCAAGCCCTCTTTGAAAATTCTGTCTAGATGATGACAAGCATACAGCTTTAGAACTGCCCCTTTTCAAGTCTGCTCCCTGGGGAACAGAAATAGGATGGAATGGAGGTTTGTGGGGAGGAACAGGGGAGGATGGGAGGGTGCAGTAACTGCAATTGACCTGTAAAACAAGCTTGTTTCAAATTTAAATTTTAAAAAAATTATCAAACAAACAAACAAGAACTGCCCCCCTTCATATAGCACTTTTCCCTTAACAAGAGCCAGAGGGAATGGGAGGGGGACATTAATAGACACCTTACTTTTACTTAGTCTGCTCTCTAGTTCTACAATCTTGTCCACTTGAGGAAAAGTTCTAGTTCAAGGGTTTTAAGGAGTTGCCAGACCTAAACAGCCACAACCCTATTCAGCCAGCGCTTCTCTCTCTCTCTCTCTCTCTCTCTCTCTTTGTGAGTTTTCTGGAGTAATCATGATTTAAGTTTTATTTTGTTAAGAAAGGCTCTGTATCTAGCCCAAGTTGGCCTCAAATCCCCTACATAGGCTAAAATGAACTCCAACTTCTGATCCCACTGAGTCTCCCTCCCTTCCAAGTACTAGGATCACCGGTGTGCCACCACTAAGCTAGTAATTTACTTTTAGAGATATTAAGTACTTCAGATTTGATCATTATAAATATATATGTCACAACTATATACAGCGAATCAATAGAATTTTAAGGTGTCTGTGTTTTATGGTTCTTCTCCTGACCTGTTTATCAATACACTATTTCACAGAGAAGCAAAATGTAACATTTGGATAGGCTTTAAAAAAGAAAAAAACCTCACACTTAGACAACTGGAACATTAAGCACAGCATGTTCACAAAAGAAACCTCAGAGATTTCCACTTCTAATGGCCACAAGAGCTAGGCAGAGTAATCCAGGTGAGTGAAGCTGCCAGCTTCTAAGACTTAATAGAAAGTATGGACTACAGCAAATGAGCATTTACCATCTAATGGGGAAGTCACGTTGCTACTTTTTTTCCCCCCACCATGTAGGTCCCAGGGGTAGAACTCAGATCCTCAGGGTTCCAGGCAGACATCTTTACTCATGAAGCCTTATTACAACTTAATATTGCCAGCGTTTTCAAACTAGTTCAGCCAGATGGTGGTGGAAAAAAGAATAACCCCTCAAGTTGTCTTCTCACCTCACATAAGCCACATCCACACACACAATAACTAAATAAAGGTGTATTCAGTTGAATAATGTGAATTCTCATTTTTGTAGTTTTGGAAGCTATAAAACATTGGTTATCTCATATTTCTATAATGTTCAAACATTGTGCATACTAAATAAAACACATCTGGGTTGGGGGTGTAGCTCAGCAGTAGATTGCTTGCCTTGTGTTCATGAGGCCTTGAGTTCTGTCCCCAGCGACATAAAGTAAAACAAATAAGAGCAAGTCTTCATGTAACCCTCCACCGAGTGCTGAGACTAGTAATTGAGAGTTACTCATTCTAGTTTCTGTTCCTTCATCACTTTTTAGCCCACCCCTGGGGAGGTAATCAAAACTGAGATTATTTTGTATCAAGAGACAACATGCAGGCAAAACACCCATACACATAAAATAATAATTTAAAAATTTTAAAAACATTATTCTAGGTTTTGCATGTTTCCATATAAAGTTTGATTTTTTTTCCAGTTTATGTGAGGAATCGTGCTGGGGATCGTGTTGATTCTGTAGTTGACTTTTGATAGAATAACCGTTTCACAATGTTAGCTTACCATTTCATAAGCATGGAAAGTCTTTTCTTCTGGTATCTTTCTCAATTTCTTTCTGCAATTTCTTAAAGTTTTGATTATGTAAGTCTTTCACTTCCTTAGTTAGATTTATCCAAAGGTTTTTGTTTTGTTTTGTTGAAACAGGGTTTCTCTATAGCCCTGACTGTCTGGAATTCAAGCTGACCTTGAACTCAAAGATCTGCTTGAATACTGGAATTAAAGGATGCACCACCATCACTCAGTTTATCTCAAGTTTTTTTTATTTTTTAAGATTTGTTTATATATTGTATTTTATGAGTACAAGTGTTTTGCCTGCATGTATGTCTAAGCACCATATGCATACCTGATATCCAAGGAACTCAAAGAAAACATCAGATCCCCTGGAACTGGAGTTATGGACAATTGTGAGCTGCCATGTGGTTCCTGGGAATAGAACCCAGGTCCTCTGGAAGAACAAGTTCTCTTAACCACTGAGCATCTCTCCAGTCCTCCAAAGATATTTTTTGAGGCTTTTGTGAGTGGCACTGTTTCCTTCATTTCTCTCTCAGTGTGTTTGTTGTTTGTATATAGGAAAGCTACTAACTTTATGCATTAATTTGTATCCTGCTACTTCATTAGATGCATTTATCAGCTGTAGAGGTTTCCTGTGGATTGTTTAGAATCTTATATGTATAAAGTCATATTATCTGCAAGTAAGGATATTTTGACTTCTTCTTTTCCTATTTGTGTTCCTTGTATGTTCTTCATTTGTCTTACTGCTTTGGTCAAGGCTTTGAGTCCTGTTTTGAACAGGAGTGGAGAGAGTAGACATGCTTAACCTGGTCCTGATGTTAATGGAAAAGCTTTTTTTTGACTTTGAGTGTTGTTTCTTTCTGTTTTCTTAAAGCTTCCAAGTTTACCATTAAGTTGTTAATATAAGAATGCCCAAACTTTCTGATGAAGGCACTTAATAAAATTTTCCTCTTAGGACTACCTTCATTGAGTCCTAATTCTGGGAAGTTTTTAATTTCCGTGATTTTTCCCTTGAACCAATTTTCATTAAATAGTGTGTTGATTGAGTTTCCACGGATTTGTGTACTTTCTGACCTTTCTATTGTTGTTGATATACATATACATTTATTCTTTTGTGGTCAGATGGACTACAGAATGGTATTTAAGTTTCCCTGTTTGTTGAGATTTGCCTTGGTCTTAATAGATGGTCAGTTTTGGGGAAAGTTCTATGAGCTGCTGAAAGGATTATGTGTTCTTTAGTGTTTGGGTGAATGTGCTGTAGATACTTTAGATATGCTTGCTTTATAATATAATTTAACTCCAGAGTGTCTTCATTTAGTTTTTGTCTGGGTGACCTGTTTATTAGTGAGAGTTGGGTATTAAAGTCACCCACCACCACTGTGTGAGAGTCAATATGTAATTTTAGAGCTAATTTACGAAATGGTTGCCCTGTTTTTGATACATACATGTTTAGGATTGGAATATTTAGTTGGTGGACTTTTCCTTAAGTGAGTATGGAGTATCCTTCCTTATCTCATCTCATGAGTTTTGAGTTGAAGTCTGTTTTGTCAGACAGTAGAATATACTTGCTTCCTGGTTCCATTTGCTTGGGAATTCCTTTTTCTATCTGCTCTACATGGTGTGTTTCTTAGAGACAGCACACAGATGGGTAGTGTTAGTCTGTATGCTTTTACTGGGAAACTGGGACCATTAATAGTGAGAATTGTTGTTGAACAATGTTTATTAATTCTTGTTTTGTTAGTGTGGTGTTGTTTTCTCTGACTTCTGACACCTGGTGCCTTCCTGAGTGTGTTTAGTCTTCCTTTCAGACTAAGGTATTCCCTCCATTATCCTCTGAAGAGCTTGTTTAGTGGGTGTAAATGTCTTAAATCTGTTTTTATCGTGAAATATTTTATCTCTCCTTTAATTGCAATGCCTCATTTTGCTGAGTATAGCAGGCTGGGTTGGCATCCATTGTCTTTCAGAACTTGCAGAACGTCAGTCCAGGTCCTTCTTGGTTTGATGTTCTCCATTGACTAATCAGTGTGTTGGTGACTAGAGAGATAGCTCACCAGTTAAGAGCACTGGCTTCTATCCCAAATGACCTAAGTTCAATTCCCAGCACCAAGAGATGGCTCACAACCATCTGTAACTCCAGTTTCAGGAACTGTAAAGCCCTCTTCTGGCTTCTCTATGCACCAGTCATACAAGGAATGCACCTACATATATGTAAGGAAAACACTTCTACACAGAAAATAAAAGTAAATCTTAAAGAAAAATTACTGTAATTCTGATGGACCTGTCTTTATATGTGATTTGATCTTTTTCTCTTACATTTAGTGTTTTGGTTATTATGTGTTGTGGGGAGTTTCTTACCTGATTCTATTTGGTGTTCTATATACTTCTTGTACCTTGATAGGCACCTCCTTCTTTAGATTGTGTAAAGTTTCTTTTATGATTTCATTAAAAATATTTTCTTTGCCTTTGACCTAGTTTCTTCTCCATCTTCTATACCTATAATTTGTAGATTTGATCTTTTTTTTTTTTAATAGTGTCCCAGATTTCCTGGATGTTCTGTTCTTAGTTGTTTGTTTTGTTTTGGGTTTTTTTTTTTTTTTTTTTTTTTTTTTTTTGAGACAGGATTTAGTCTTAGTTGTTTTGTTTTATATTTAGAATTTTCTTGATTAAGCGACCCATTTCTTTTTACCTTGTCTTCAAGATTTGATGTTCTCTCTTCTAATCCAATGTTTTGGGGATATTTTCCACTGAGTTCATTGTTTGGCTTGCTGAATTTTTAAAACTTATTTCTCTTTGGTTTTTCTTCAAAGATTTCTCCCTCTTTTTTAACTTCTATTTTCATATCTTGAATTATGCTCTTTTTTTTTTTCTCAACTGTTTTGTTCATGGTCTTCAGGCATTTATACATGTCCTTTGAGGTCCTTGAACTTATTTACAACTGCTATTTTGAAGTCCTTATCTTGTGCATCAGCTAAGTTACTTGCCTCAGGGAATACTCTAGTGGGGGTGCTGGTTTTTGAAGGAGACTTCCTGCCACGGTTGTTCATGGTGTTCATGTGTTTGCCATGGGATGGAGGCATCTGGAATAAGGTTGTTTGAGGTGTTTCTTGGTGTGCATATCTGGTCTCTTGTTGAGTGTTTGCTTGCTGTTTCCCCAACTTGTTGTGAACCAGTTGAATGATACTTGGTTTTCAGTCTTGAGGTCACTCCAGGTTTCATGATGGGATGCCCCATGGTCTTTGGTTAATGCTGTGGATAGCATGGCTGGCATTCAGGGGACAAAAGCCAGTTTTGTTTGTTTGTTTTGTTTTGTTTCTGTTTTTGTTTTTTTTTTAAGACTCATACCTTCTGAAGAGGTGAAAGAAAAGAAGACATTGTCACACTATCAGACTATTTGAGAAGGCAGCCAAGCAACATTAAATAAAGTATATCATAAACTAGACGCTTCCTGGGGCATATAGTGGATGCCTAGTTGATGTTAACTGAATCTTTATAAAATAGCTCCTAGATCCTCATCTCTAGCCTTAATTACTGATATATTGTGCCATCAAAATAGCTTATCAGGAAAAGGCATTCCATGTGCAATCCTGAAAACCAGTGTTTGATCGCCAGATCCCACAGTGAAACAGGAGAACTAACTCTTAAATGTCTTCTGACCTTCACATGCCTGGCAGTTTAGGCCCAGACTCACGGACTCACATCATACATACAAACAGGCAATGATATTTAAATTAAAATTTACAAATTTAATTAAACATCAGACATTATTATCTAGTCTTGAGAAGAAATAGTTGATTTCACTCGTGTAGCATGAATTCCAATTGTTACTATTAATAAAAACCCAGAAACAGATACTAGGTTTAAAGCTGAAGATCAGAGAAGCAAAGCCAGTCACTAAAGACTTCTATCATGCTCTGACCAAAGGGGCGATCCTGTCCTCACACTGTACTGCTCCTCAGACTGCCTTCTGCCTAGACTGTCTCTGTCTCTGTCTCTGTCTCTCTCTCTCTCTGTCTGTCTGTCTGTCTCTCTCCTCCTCCTCCCCCTGCCTTATATTCTCTGTCTCCATCCAGCCATACTCCTGTCTCCACCTCCCGAGAGCTGGGATTAAAGGTGTGTGCTACCACTGCCTGGTCTCTGTGGCTAACTTTGCACTCTGATTTTCAGGCAAGCTTTAGTTGTTAAAACACAAACAAAATATCACTACACATTTGCCTGCCCACAGGCTTTCTGAACATATCACGTCTCCTTCTGCAGCTCTGCACTGGAAGCTCTTCTGTCTGTCTTGCACCCAGCTGTATTCTAACAGCTTCCATTCTCTGGAGCCAGGAGCTGTGCAGTTACCTTGGAGTCCCCCCTCCCTGCATTGTTTTGAAGCATTCTTCTTTCTTTAGAGCCATGCTTTAAACTAGAACTTAAGGCTGAGCCACTGTGAACTCCCTAGGGCCGGCCGTGTGCTATGGTGATTAATGACAGACATGTGTGTGGTCCCATCTTCATCACTTGCTAGCATTACATTACAGACAGACTAAACTGTAAACAACCACAGTGGTGGGAATTAAATCATCCTCAAATGAACAGCTTCTTGTGTGTGTGATTGTCAGCTAGCCCTGTTGTGCCTGCAGTTAAACTGTAGCTCCACAAAGACAGATGATGCTATTGTCAACTTCAAAGGGAACTCCAGTTCTCCAAACTCTAAAAAGCAGTCCAAATATCCAGAAATAAGCTGAGCCTGGACTATAGGAGGATTTCTCCAGCTGCAGATTCCCTCTAGCTCACATGCTTCCCTCCCCAAAGCTACTTGTTTTCCTGCCACCCTGCTATGTTCTCTCTATACTCTGTCCCCGATCCTCTCACTCTTCTCTGTCCTCTGTCCCTGCAATTCTTCCCTCTCCCAGATAGCCCTGGCCATGTCCATCTGCGTTCCCTCTCTGCCCTGAACTCTTCCAGATGCCTCTGGCTGCTCTCTCTCTCTCTCTCTCTCTCTCTCTCTCTCTCTCTCTCTCTCTCTCTCTCTCTCTCCCCTCCCCTCCTATCTTTTTCTCAAGTAAGCCCCATGCCTTTAATGGTAGAAGACATACAGGAGACTCAAAATAACATCAAATATAAGAATAAAGCAGTTACTTTGGAGTACATGGGAAAACACAGATTTTTGTTGTTGTTGTTAAAAATCCAAGAAATGATTCTGAGACTGCTTTAGATTCTAACTCTTACATTTTGAAAACAAAACTGAAATAAACATGAAGTTATAGTGATAAAGTGAATGTAGTGGGGGCTGGTGTTGAGACAGGGTTTCTCTGTGTAACAGCGCTGATTGTCCTGGAGCTCACAGAGATCTGGCTGCCTCTGCCTTCCCAGTGCTGGTATCAGAGGCAGGCAAGTGAAGGTATTCTTAAATGAAACCACCCAGTCTTGTGACCACCCATCCAGGGTGGATGTCCCAGGCCAGCTCTTTTGAAACTAAGTTTAACAACATCTGAAATGCTTGTGAAAATGCAGACTCCTGGGTCCCTAATCCAGGCTCCCTGAATTAGGGTCTCTAAGAGAGAGAGGACTGAGAGTGGTTTTGTTTTGTTTTCCTTTCAAAGAAGCTAGGCATAATGGTGCAACCTGCAGTCCTAGCACTTGGGGGGCAGAGGCAGAAGGATTGAGTTCAAGGATAGCCTGGTCTACATAGCAAGTCTTATTTTCCCCACCCCACAAAAGAAAGGCATATGGATAATTGTTACCAGAAACTGTTTTAGAAATGGAGTTTAGACAATACACTCTTTTTCATTTTTTTTTTTTAACTTTCATTGGTGTGTGGGCCTCTCTCTGTGTTCTGTTCCTCTTCATCTCTCTCCATGCTTGAAGATTAAAAGACAACTTGCAGGAGATGGTTCTCTTTTCACAATGTGGGTTTATAGTTTTGAACTCAGGTCTTTAGGCTTAGTACATATGTCTTTACCAAATAAGCTGAACCTCCTCAATGGGCCCAAAAATACACTTTGTTTTGAAATTTCAGTTGGGTTTCTGTAGCAAAGTGTATATTCCAGCTATTTATATTTATTTGCCTTGTTTCTGTAACACTCCAGGCCTGAGGATTTACGCCGAGAATTTGGTCGATACGGCCCCATAGTAGATGTTTACATTCCACTTGACTTCTACACTCGCCGCCCCAGAGGATTCGCTTATGTTCAATATCCTTTATTTCATGTATGCATGCCAACACACTTCATACATGTGCTTGAACATATATGTATTTAGGAGTGTATGTTATTAGATCAATATTATCTAATGTGTTTGTTTCTTTATCTCAGTGAATCTTAAACCGTCCACAGTAGCTGGCAATGGCTTCCCCACCCCCAGCTTGGTTCCACTTATTAGCTAGACTCCAACCATAAGCCTAGCAGCATGGCAAAAGGCATCCAAGTTCAAGCACAGAGTAAAGAGGAGGGTAGACACAGGTGTGAAACCTGGAAGAATGAGGCCTTTATGGAGCAAAAGATGGATTAGTCTTTGAGACTTTGGCTTTCCTGTATTTATTTAGAGTTCTGGAGTCAAATCCAAGTCTGATTTTATTGGTTCTACATCTCTGATCAAGTCTACCCTGCAAGTTCTAAAATGTAGATGTCAATGTTCAAGAGCCAGTGTCATTGAGGTCATTGCCAGCCTCCTTTTGTATGCATTAGTTGAGCTTGTTTATTTGCTATTTTAAGAAAACTAGTAATAAGGCCCAGCATGGTGGCTCATACCTTAAGTCCTAGCTTGGGAAGCAGAGGGATCTCTGTTGGTTCAAGGACAGCCTGTTCTATATATGGAGCTTCAGGCCAGCCAAACTACAAACTACAAAACGAGAGAGAGAGAGAGAGAGAGAGAGAGAGAGAGAGAGAGAGAGAGAGAGAGAGTAAATAACTTCCTAAAATACAGCTATTTCCATTTTACACACCTACTGTCCATTAAAGTAAGGCTTGGGACCATATGCTTAGGTAAGGAAATTTAGTGGAGCATTTCAAATCAGTATATGTGATTCCAGATGGTCATGGATTGTTTTTGAATGAAAAACAGACATGACTGCTCCTAGATACGTTTGAGAAAAAAAAATTCCTTGTAGATATGAGAGAAAAGACAACCAGAGGCATCTGGAAGGGCCCAGGCTGAACTGGACCATGGGGATCAGGGGTAGGACCCAAGAGGCCCAAGAGAGCATATATCCAAAATTGGTGTCTTACATAGGGAAGAAAGCTGGGGGACCGGAAGGGAAGCTCAGGGACTGGTTAGAGTAGGGGGTAGGGTATGCCAGCCAGGATGACTCTGGAACATGTAATGCAATGCTGAGAGCCTGGCAGCCAGTGTCCACTTTCATATGTTAATAGGCACTCAGCCATTTCCCAGGCTTCTTTGAGACCTGTTTCCTGTTATTTCATACTTACATCCCAGTAATAACACAAAGGGGAGACTGTTGTAAGTAGTAGGTTCAAAGGTGGGCACTGCCCTAAAAGAACCAAAGTAGTCCTTTATGTTAGCTTACTTTTATTGTTACAGTTTTGTTTATAATGAGTCATTTCTCCTAAACTTCATAAGTAGACTTTTACTGATAGAGTACTTTTACTTGCAAAATAAAAGTTTCTACATGCTGATATTTTCAGTGAAAACCCTAATGGGTCCTTTCTCTGAAATGGGTTGGGGGGGGACAATAAACCCTAAATAGTTTATTTTATAATGCCAGCTAATTTGAGATTAATTCTTTTCCCACATTTCAAATTGTGCTAATTGTATCTACTGTTCTATTTTTATATTCATATTTCTAAATCACAAGAGGGCATTTGTTTTCATAATAAAATATAAAAGCTTTTCTCGTTATTCATATTGGAGCCAGAATTTGGTCTTCTTGTCAATTTAATTTCACATATAAATAATAACTGAAATACTTTTACTGACCATCTTATGTCCAAAGTGTCCTTAACAGCTGATCATGTTTGAAGATGTTCGAGATGCTGAAGATGCACTTTATAACCTCAATAGGAAGTGGGTATGTGGCCGGCAAATTGAAATACAGTTTGCACAAGGTGATCGAAAAAGTAAGTGTAAATGATCATTAGATCTCAGTTACTTGGCAGGACTGTTACTGTTACAGAGTGTCGGCAACAGTAGCATGTTATTTAAAGTTCTTCAGAAAATGATACCGACAGAGTGGCAGCTCCCGTGGTTTTCAGGTAGTGAACTGTTAGAAGCCTTGTCCTTCATGTTCTAGCACCAGGCCAGATGAAGTCAAAAGAGCGGCACCTGCGCTCCCCAAGTGACCACAGGAGATCCAGAAGCCCCAGCCAGAGGAGATCTCGAAGTCGAAGTTCATCATGGGGAAGAGACAGGAGGCGGTCAGACAGCCTGAAAGAGTGAGTACTGGAAGCAACCGGAAACAACAGTGCAGTTCAATTTCCTACTTTTTCTGGGAAACGTTTTGAAGAATTACGGGTGCAGGGGCGACTTAAATGATGATTTTGTTTACTATGCACAAACAAGCTTCTGTGAAAATGATGCTGTTCTCTATCGTATATTGGTTCTGTGTTTTCCTGGACAGTGGGGTTGAACTCAGGACCTGGCACAGGCTGGCAGGTACTCTACTATACCTGTACACATGCACTGAGGCTGTCTTCCCAGCACCACCACCACCCTTTTTTTTTTTAAAAAAAAAAAAAAAGTTTTAGCTTTAGACAGGGTCTTGTTGTTATTTGGTTGTGTGTTTTAAGTACATGCTTATGTCTGTGTGTGCACATGTATGCATGTGGTTGCACATTGTGTATGGTTAGAGGTTTATATTGGCTGTCTTTCTTGATCACTCCTTAGTTTTTGGCAACGGGGTCTATCACTTAATGTGAAGCTCATCCTGGAGGCTAGGCTGACTAGCTAGTGAACTGGAACCTACATTTCTCTACCCCACCACACCCCCTATCCCTGAGTTTACAGATGGGCATCATTGTCTCCTAACTTTTTAAAGGTGCTATACAATCCAAGCTTGCCTTGAACACACTATTTCTCCCAGGTTGGGCTCAAATTTGAGATGGTCTTCCTGCTTCAACCTCCCAAGTACTGGGATTACAGATATACATCATTTATTGTTGTTCAACTTGGGATTCATTGGATATATTCCATGACTTTTCAGTAATTGTCTTAAGTATCAGGGGATGTGATACTTTTTAAATATATCGATACTATGAAATTGGCCATAGTGGTACATACCTGTAATCCCAGCATTTGGGAGGTAGAAGCAGGAAGATCTAGAATTCAAAGTCGGACTAACTCATGCATATTTAGATGTCTCCGCCTCTTTAAAAGGTTCACACCAAAAAGAAGAAAGATAATATATACCCCCTCCTCCACAAAGTGGGAAAAACATACTCTGTAGCCCCAGTACTCAAGAATAGAATAAGCAGGATCTTAAGCCCCAGCATTAAGGCAGTTGGGGCAATACACACAGACCTTATCTCAAAATAAATACATAAAATAATATGTACTCAACAAAGAAGGTTGAGAATTTTAGATAAGTAAAATTTTCCTAAATGAACCCAATAATTCCTAATCTTGATTCTGAAGAAGAATAAACTCAAAAACTATAATACAGTTGTTTGTGAAAGGATGGAGGTTGACTAAAATTAAATCAATTTATTCTTTTTTGTTTTGATTTTCAAAGCAGAGTTTCTCTGTGTGTCCCTGACTGTCCTGGAACTGGATCTGTAGACCAGTCTGGCCTTAAGCTCAGAGAACAGCTTGCCTCTGTTTCTCAAATGCAATTTAATCTTATAAATTGATAATGTGTTATGATTATTATTAAGAATCAATTCCAGCTATGATTATATTATAGAAATGAGACCAAAAAAATAGTGAATTTCTTAAGAAAAGACTTCTGCAAGTTACCTTTTTTTTCTATTTAGGAATCAGTATCTATTTTATTAGAAAAATAGTAATCACAGTGGAAATTTAATAGTGATGCTGCTGAAATAGTCATTGGAACTAGATTGTCAAGCCTAAACTCTCTTAAGTATTTATGGCTCAGTGCTTTAACTTTTTTACAGGCATGTGGAATTTTAAAGTGAATTCTGATCCTAAAGTAGAATCCAAATAGCTGGATGTGGTAATAATTGAAAGATAGAGGGAGGAGGCTCCTGAATTTGAGGCCACCCTCAGCTACATAAAGACTGCCACACTAGCCAGGGCCACATGTGTCCAAAGCTGAACACACACACACACACACACACACACACACACACACACACACAGACAGAGAGAGAGAGAGAGAGAGAGAGAGAGAGAGAGAGAGAGAGAGAACAGTTGTATGATAGAGTTAGGTTGGTGACTCTGTTGGTAAAGTGCCTACCATGCAAGCATGAGAATCTTGAGTTTGGACCCCCAAGCACTATGCAAAAGCTGGAGCTTGTTGCCTGTATCTGTAACCCCAGCACTAGAGGAAGTAGAGACAGGCATTTCCCTGGAGCTTGCTGTTCAGCAAGTTCAGCGAATTAGTGAGAGCTGGATTCAGTGAGAGACCCTATCTCAAAAATAAAGTGGAAAATAGAGTAAGATGCCCAGTGTCAAGGTGGGCAGTGGTGGCACATGCTATTAATCCCAGCACTCCAGAGGCAGAGGCAGGAGGATCTTTTTGGGTTCCAGGTCAGCCTGGCCTACAGAGTGAGTTCCAGGACAGGCAAAGAAACACAGAGAAACACTGTTTCCAAAAAAAAAAAAAAAAAAAAAAAACAACCAAAAAGCCAAATAAACAAAGGAGACCCAGTGTCTACATCTGGCCCTACATGCATGAACACCCACATTAGCACAATATGGAGCATGAGCCGGCACACACTCAGGATGAATCATCAGGAGAATCATGAGTTCAAGGCTGTCTTGGCAACTTAGTGAGACATTGTGTCAAAATTAAAATTACAAAAAAAAAAAAAAAAAAAAAAAAAAAGAGCTACTGGTAAAACTCAGAGGCAGCACTTGCTAAATGTATGCAATTCCCTTGTTACACACACACACACACACACACACAGAGAGAGAGAGAGAGAGAGAGAGAGAGAGAGAGAGAGAGAGAGAGAGAGAGAGAGAGAAACACCTAGGCTGTTACCTGACACCTTTGACCTTTTAGCAGCCTAAATTTCAGTCTCTGTCTTTTAAATTTTAAATTCAGTTCTTGAATTTCATTTCTGCTAATCTCTTGGGGTCACATCCTATGCATTAAGAATTTGAAGAAAGCTAATAACCCTTGGGTAATAGGCAAAGCCACCTGATGCCCTCCTTTAGCCTCTGCATGCTTACACATGGGTGCCACCGATCCCACCAACACACACAACCCCCCCCCCACACACTCACAATTTAAAATAAAGACAACCATTTACTTCAGGAGGATTTGTGGGCAGGTTCTAGGAGGTTTTGGTCTACAATGCCCTCATTTATGGGATGTTTGCCTCTTAAGTCTCAGCCGTTTTTGTGGCTTTGAACTCTGAGGCTTGTAACTCAAGTTTTGCTTATGTTGGTTGTTCTCTAATGCTTTCAGATTATAAATATTGTGAGGAGGGTTTTTTTTTTGTTTTTCTTCTGATTTTTATTCCTGTTAAGTTGTTTAATCCAGCTGGGTGTTGGGTTGCATGTCTGTAATTCTAGCACTTGGGTATGGGACAGGATAATCATAAATTTAAGATTGGCTGGATTGCACAGTAAGACTCTGTCTCAGAAAGCAGAGAGAGACAGAGAATGCTTAACCCAATTTAACAATACAGAACATATAGGGTCGCAAAGTAAAAATATTTGGAACATATATTCTAATGCAACGGATATTACAGACTTGTTACTTATGTTTGAACCAAAAGCATGAATAATAAAATTAGAATTATTTCTTTTAGGGATGGAGGTATGGTTTGGTATATTTGCCTAGCAAACACAATACCCTGTGTAGGGCTTTGTTTTGTTCTTTATGTTTTACTATTTGGGGGCCCACCACCCAGCTACCCAATGGAGACTTATGCTTACTTATGAATGCCCAGCCTTAGCTTGGTTTGTTTCTAGCCAACTTTTCTAACTTAAATTATCCCTTTCTCTTTAACTGTGGTTTGCCTCTATTGCGGTTAAATAAGAATCAGGATAAATAGGCCGAATAGATGTTTATTCAGGGAGAAATAACTTACAACCTAGACAAATTCCACTCGATGCTCTCCTGTCCGAGTCTGGCCAGCCAGAGAGTGTTCCTGGCTCTTCCTCGGTCCTCCTTCCACAGGTCACTTCCGCCCATGGCTCCACCCCCCGTGGTCAGCTCCACAGAAGGAGACAAAGTAACTATCTTACTACATGCCTCAGGGCTTTTTACCTTTGTTTATTCTATATATATCTTTCTTTCCTTCTTACTCTGTGGCTGGCTGTGTGACTGGATGGCTGGCCCCTGGTGTCCTTCTCTCCTTCTCCTTTTCTCATTCCTCACTCCCTTCCCTAGATTTCTCCTGCCCTACCTATTTCTCTCTCCTGCCTAGCTATTGGCTGTTCAACTCCTTATTAGACCAATCAGTGTTTTAAACAAAGTAACACAGCTTCACAGAGTTAAACAAATGCAACATAAGAGAATGCAACACATCTTTGTATCATTAAACAGATGGCGCACAGTATAAACAAATGTAACACACCTTAAAATAATATTCCACAAGAGCCCAGGGTTACAACCCCAGTGCTGAAAAAAAAAAAAAAAAAGAAAGAAAAAGAAAAAAGCATCTTGTCATTAATCTATTAAAATATTAAAACACAATGTGTTAGTCAGACTTCCCATCATTATGACAAATACCCCCAAGAAGAACTTAGGAAGGAGAAATTTATCTTGCTAAGAGTTTCAGAGGGTCCAGCCCACAGGAAGCTAAATCCATTGCTGTGGGCCTGAGGTGAGGCAGACTATCATGCCCAGTGACCTTATGGTGCAGGCTTCTCGATTCATGGCAAACCATAAGACTGGAGGAAAGAGCAGGTGATTAGAAACAGTTGTTGCCAGGCAGTGGTGGCACATGCCTTTAATCCCAGCACTCAGGAGGCAAGTCTGGTCTACAAAGCAAGTTCCAGGATAGCCAGAGCTACACAAAGAAACCTTGTTTCAAAAGACCAAAAAGGAAAGAAAGAAACAGCTTTCAAGGCACTCCCAGGGATACACTACATTCAAGAAAGGCTTACCTTCTGATGACATCTTACATCTCCTGATGACACCATACACTGAGTCAGTCCATCAAGGGACTAACCCACTGATTAGGTCAGAGCCCTCAGAATCTAGTCACATCCCTTAAGACCACTGGCTGTCAATCAGACTGCTAATACTTGTGTCTGGGGAAGATATTTTTCTTTTTCTTTTCTATTTTATCAGTATGGGACTTTTACTTGCATGTATGCCTGTGCCTCACATGAATGTAGTATTTTCAGAAGGTGCCAGATCCCCTGGAACTGCGGGTACAAACAGTTGTGTGTGCTGACCGTGTGGGTGCTAGGACTCAAACCACATCCCCTGGAAGAGCAGCAAGTGCCTTTGACCACTGAGCCACTCTGACAGCCCCTGTAGGGTATATTTCATATTTAAGCCATAGCACATATTCAGTGTGATGTGAAGCATGTCAGGAAGCACTGTCTCTTAACCTGCCATCTTGTATAAAGTACGTGCTCTAATGTTACACATGCTTCCAGGTCTCGACACAGGAGATCTTACAGTCAGTCCAAGTCTCGCTCCAAATCACTACCAAGGCAGTCTACCTCAGCAAGGCAGTCAAGAACACCAAGAAGGAATTCTGGATCTAGGGGACGGTCAAGATCCAAGTCCTTACCAAAAAGGCCCAAGACAATGGAAAAATCACATTCACGCTCACCTCAAAAGCAGATTGGCTCAGGAGCAAAATCAAGATCACATGGACGACACTGTGACACAATAGCAAGATCCCCATGCAAGTCTCCCAGAGGGTACACCAGCTCCGGAACCAAGACACAGACAGCAAAGCATTCTCATTTTCGGTCACATTCCAGATCTCGGAGCTATCATCATAAAAACAGTTGGTGAACAGCAACTTCCAGAGGAGCCACAGCTCTGCTCCAAGTTACTAGACCTCGTTGTGATTAAAGTTCTTCAAGGCTTATAGACATGTGACTGGTGTTAGTTGCTTCAGGCATGTGGAAGGAATAAAATTGCCCTAACTTTGATTAATAAACAATTGATCTTGATTTAAGGGCTTATCCACAAATGATTGTGTGTACAGTGTCTCCCTTGTATAGGCTGTATTTTCTTCACATTGTAGCAAGGGGTTACTTCCCAAAGGAAACAGGAAAAATGGAACCAATACAGAAATTCTACTTAGATGTTAAATGTTATCAATAATACCTTTACAAAAATATTTTTTACTTTAAAGCATTTTTCACATAAAAAGTAACTGTGACTATATGTAAGTGCATAGGCCAGACTTAAACTGTTTGACATTTATGTCTTTCTTGTGACTTCTCTTGAAGTTTGGCCAATTCTTGGTGGATATTAGTTCAAATTACAGCAATCCAAAATCTCAAAAGATAAAATTTATATAGAGATTCTGTAACTGTTCAAAAGACAACTCAAAGAACATTTCATTGTTTTTTTTTTTTTTTAATGCAACTGCATAGACCAGATGGCATGAAATGATATCCATGTTTGCTTAAAATATGAAAACAAAGCCAGGTGTGGTGGCACATGCCTGTAATCCTAGCATTTGGGAGATGAGGTAAGAGGGTCAAAACCAGCATGGACTGGGCTATATGAGACCCTGACTAAAAGTAAATAATTAACGTTCTTTTAAAAAGTGAAACCATTTTAGAAGTACTAGATACAGAATGGTATGAGACTACTCTAAAAAGTATGGTGTGGAACACTCAGAATCCACAAATACTCATATTAAGCCTTACATATTTGAAGTATAGTACATTTTGTATAAATTCATATTTATACCATTATTTCTATATAGCTATTTTCATCTGCATTTTTTTCTTTTTAGAGCTCTAGTTCAATATCCTAATTATATACAAAGTCTTTTTAAAAAAGAAGTAAACATTTAATACATTATACTAAGAAGGATAATGACATGTGATGGTGAGTAAATCCACTCACCATGCACACCTGGAAGCCTGAGTGCAAGCTGGGCAACTTGGGTTCAATTCCTGAACCAGCTTAAAGGTGGAAAGAGAACTGACTCCTGCAAAGCGTGTCTGACTTCCATACTGTGCTATGGCATGTGCACACACACACACACACACACACACACACACACACACACACACACACGTATGCAAAAGCTTAAATTTAAAACTATACCTTCAAGACAGACATGTAGCACACGCACATGCCTATCATCCCAGAACTCAAGCAGCCAAGGCAGGAACTTGAGACAAGCCTGGGAAACATTAAGATCACACACACACACACACACACACACACACACAAAGAAAAGAAAAAGATCTGCATAAAAATAGTTTTGAGGTGAGGTATTTGATTTTTACATTATACTACTCTACATTTTAAAAACCAAATAACTTTGTTGAAAGTTACTGCTTTTGTAGTTGTTGTAACTCAGAATTTCTTTTAAAATGTGTTTGAGGTTTACATCTCAGAGGGTTTTGGTAAATTTGTGATACAAGGGTTTGTATATGATTGTCATAGGAGATATGTTTACAGATTTACTTTGTTGAATCACATTGCTGAAACTCACTGTCAGCCCTTACAGCTAATATTTATGCTTAGGATTACCTAAGAACCCTGTCTTACATTTTCAATATTTGGAGCCATGTTGCTTCCATTAATTTCCAATATAGAGTTCCATATACTTTGCATTTTAAATTCTTTATGTGTGAAACAACTTTACAAAATAATTTGTATGTAGGTGATATTTGGAGAAGTGCCACAAATTAATGTATATTATACTCTCTAGATATATTTTCTCTATTTAACCATAGAAAAATTTATTTCAAAACTTCACTCTGATGTTCCTCAATAATAAAGCAATTATAAAAGTATGGGAGACTGTTGCAAACTTCAGGGGGAGTTTTAAGTGCTGTCCTGACAGGTGCATTGGTATATGCTGTCATCTTCAATAATGACTAGCATATGCAAAGCCTTGGGTTCTTCAATCCCAGCACTGCGGGGTGGGGGTAGGGAACCAGGGAATTAACTGTACTTTTACAGTGTCTTTATACTTATGGATTATTTTATCAAGGGATCATCATCTCAAGGGTGCATGACTTTTCCTGGGGAAACTTGAATAACTTCTACTTACCACAAAAAGGCTGCTAACAACAGATCACAAGTATTGCTCCATCCCAGTCTAGCTTAATGAACAGGAAGCAAGCTTGCCTACAGAAGCATGGACAGCTTCCAGGCAGCTGTTCTGTGGAAGAACAGCCTTCCCCAACAACTGTTTCTGTGTCCTGAGTGCTGGCTCATGGGGCTTCCTCCCCTTTCTCCAGGGAATGTCAGTGGGCCCAGAGGGTCCTATGATGTAATCATGCCTGCTCTGATTTCCACATGGCAATGGTCATGTCATGACCAGATAACAGCATTCCATAATGCTTAGAAAAAAAAGTTAATGCATTTCTGAACATATTTAAATTTTCCACTATGTTTGTCTTGGATTTCCATTATTATACTGTTAATCACAAAGATTCAGGGAGAAAGAACACTGACTCAAACCATCATGGCCAAATTAAAGCAAGCAACTAATTAAAACAAGCTTTTTTATTCATGTACACAGGTTGTTTCCCCCTAAAGTCAAGGTTCAAGAGATCACCATTGGATGTGAAGAGGTGTTTTTTTTTTTTTTTTTTTTTTTTTTTTTTTTTTTTTATAGCTGAGGGGTAGGAGCTTTCCAAAAGAGTGATTTGGCAGACGAATAGGTGAGGTTACAGAAGTAGATCATAAGCATAACAAGACGTCATAATGACCTCCTGAAGCAAAGACATGGTTACAATGTGGTCATAACAACATAGTCCTAACTACAGGTTTGTGGTTGGTGGTCATATTACCTTTTGAAAAAGGCATGGTTGCCATTTTTTGAAATAGGCAGTACAGAATCATTTGTAGTTAAGGTTAAAGGTGGGGCAAACCCTCAAGCCCAATCCTCAAGAAATAGAGGTATAATCATAAACAGGAATAAACCTAGTTTGTCTTTATAAAAAGATAGCTTTTAAGCCCAAGATAGAGGTAGGCTGGTTCATCAATGCCCAATGCTGAGGAGGACACTGTTCAGTTTTAATTAAATCTAGAATGATAATGGCTTGAATACTTTTTTAATTTAAATTTTTCTTGTAAGTATGGGTGCTTTGCCTGCATGCATATCTGTGCATTACATGCTTGCCAGGTGCCCCCAGAAGGCCAAAAGAGGGTGTCATATCCCTGGAACTGGAGTTATATATGATTGTGAGACACCATATGGGTGCTGGGAATTGAACCTTAGTCCCCAAGAAGAGCATTTCAGTGCTGTTAATCACTGAACCATTATTCTGTTATGCCCAGATCATGCAGTCCCCTAAAAATCAACAAGGAGACCATCTTATATGTAAAAGCAAAGAGCCTTTATTCAAGTTCAAACTTGGGCTCTCGTGTATCCAGCACATTGGCATCATCAGAGATCCTCAGTTGGGGTGGGGTGTTTATCAAAGCAGAAGTTATGGTAAGGGATTTCTAAGGTCAGCACACCTGATTGGCTGATATTTGTCTAGGAATGTCTGGTGCAAGGGGATGGGTATGTCTGTGCCGGGCTAAGGGACCTCAACTATCTACAATGGTTGGAACATTAGGAATTTTCCTTTGAAACATTGGGTATTTTCTCCTAGGATGGTCCCTTCCTGGGTGGTGCCTGGGTGGTCTCAGTCTGTAGTCTGTCTTTTCCTGGAGTCAGATGCTGCTTTAGGGTAAACTGAAAACTCAGGCCGACTTGAGCCTTGGTGCGGCAGCAGTGCAGTGAAGCGGCAGGTGTGTATCAAGTTGCTCTGGGCTCTATACTCTCCAGCCTCTTAAAATATTGTTTTTACTATTTTAAAGTAGCATTTATGCTGGGCCACGCCTTTAATCCCAGCACTTGGGAGGCAGAGACAGGCCAATCACTGAGTTTGAGGCTAGCCTTGTTTACAGATCGAGTTCTAGGACAGACTCCAAAGCTACACAGAGAAACCCTATCTTGAAGAACAAGCAAAAGAAGTAGGATTTATTTTGGCTCACAGTTTAAGACACAGTCCATCACGGTGGGGAGATCATGGTTACAGAAACAGAAAGCAATGAATAAGTGATTGTGCTCAGCTGGTTTTCTTTTTTTCATAGTCTGAAACCCAAGCCCAAGGGATAATGCCACCCACTTTTACTGTTGGTCTTGTCTTAGTTAGGCTTAATACTGCTGTGACAAAACACCATGACCAAGGCAACTTTTGGGAGTAGTTGGGTTTTTGTTTTTGTTTTGTTGTGTTGTGCTTTGTTTTTTAAGAAAGTGTCCCTCTCTGTAACCCTGACTGTTCTGGAACTCACTTTGTAGGCCAGGCTGGCCTTGAACTTGGAAATCTTGAACTTGAACTTGCCTCTCTGCCTCCCAAGTGCTGGGATTTAAAGGCATGTGCCACCACTGCCTGGCCAGCCATGGCAACTTTTAAAAGAAAGCATTCAATTAGGGGCTGGCTTACAGTTTCAGAGGATTAATCTATGACCATCATGGTGGAGCTTGTGGTGGCTGGTGGGGCACTGGAATAATAGCTGCAAGCTCACATCTGACCTGAAAGTTGCAGGCAGAATGGGTATGGGTGGGAGACTGGGCCTTGCTTGGGCTTTTGAAACTTTAAAGCTCACCCCCAGGGACACAACTACTCCAGCAATTTGGGGAGGGAGGGGTTTATTCAGCATACACTCCCACATTACTGTTCATCACCAAAGGAAATCAGGACAATAACCTGCATAGGGCAGAGCCTGAAGGCAGGGGCTGATACAGAGGCCATGGAGGGGTGCTGCTTATTGGCTTGCTCACATGGCTTATTCAGCCTGCTTTCATGTAGAACCAAGGACCACTAGCCCAGGAAGAGCATGGCCTTCAAATGGACCCTCCCGCATTGATCACTAAATGAGAAAATGCCTTACAGCTGGATCTCATGGAGGCATTTCCTCAACTGAGGCTCCTTCTTCTCTGGTGACTCTAGCTTATGTCAAGTTGACACAAAACCAACCAGAACAGCCACACCTCCTAACCTTTCCTAAATAGTCTACCAGCTGGGAACCAAATATTCAAATATATGAGCCTATGGGGGCCATTCTCATTGAAACCACTCCCTGCCCCCCATAGGCTCTTGCCATATCATAATGCAAAATGTATTTGGTCCAACTTTAAAAGTCCCCATAGTTCTTCATAGTATCAACACTGTTTAAAAGTCCAAAATCTCTTCTGAGACTGAAAGCAATCTGTTAACTATAAGCCCCTCCCTATAAAATCAAAAAGTAGAATATAAATTATCATTCCAAAAGGGAGGAAAGGGGACTAATGAGGAATTGCTGTACCAAAGAAAGACTAAAACCAGCTGGGCAAACTCCAAATCCAACTGGGGTATACCTAATGACAAAGAGCTTATTAGATGGCTCT